ATCCGAGAGATGCAAAATGCTGTATCTGAAGTTGCTCCAGATCTTGGTATCATGACTGGACCTTCTGGAAGAGATCGTGAACACGAGCTTGAGAAGCGTGAGATCGTATTGGAGAAGGTTGCCCGTGAGGGAGAAGATGAGGGGTTCCTCAAGAAACTTCTGCTCCCAATCGAGGGTCAAGGTATTAATCTAGGCCGCAACGGCCGTATTGATCTACCTTCCGTTCTTGGGAGCAGTCGTGTCTGGTATCACTTATCTATGCATCCTACCGACGATTCACCTGCAGCTCTAGCTTCGCTTCCTTCAACAACTTCGGCTTGGTCCGCGGGTGCCATCTCACGCCAGCTTCGCGCATGGCGCTTGCCAGAATGGGCAAATCGACGAAATAAGAACTTGGATTTCACAGCCGATTTCGATTTCGAAGAATTCGTTCAACGATATGCCCCCCTTGGTTGTAAGGATGGGCGTGATGGCATTGAAAGCTGGACCATGGAACGTGGTTGGAGCAATGGCGAAGTTGTCATCGGCAAAGAACGGATATGGATCCGCGAAAGTGCTTGGTGGGAAGCTGAAACCATGCTCGACCTAAAGCCAGCAGAAGGGGAGTTCCAAAGTACGGGCGGTCCCGGAGGTATGGCAGGCATGTTGGGAGCCCACGACATGAATACAGGATACTCCTCCAACCCACCAAACGGAAGCGGTTTCTTTACTGGTCCCAATAATGATATGTCTCGTCTTGGAAGTCACGACAATGTCATGAATCGTCAAAGTCAAGTCAACGTAGCGCAGAGTAACCTCGGGGCTCCCACTATCACGCCCTCAAGGAATGTCAGTGGTGGTGACTATGGGCTCGGCTTCAAGGGAGATGATATGAGGGGGCAGGTTTACTATACCAATGAGAATGGAGAAATGGTGGATGACCCAGAAGGTGGCACCGCGAAAGCTGTGGTCAATGAAAAGGCAACAAACCAGCGTCGTATCTGGGTCGCTATTACCTGGGCTTTCACATGGTGGATTCCTTCATTTCTCCTTTCATTTATTGGTCGGATGAAACGACCAGATGTACGCATGGCTTGGAGAGAGAAGTTCGTGCTGTGTTTCTTCATCCTCTTCCTCAATTGCTTGGTTGTTTTCTGGATTATTGAATTTGGCAAACTCCTCTGTCCAAATTCTGATAAAGCATGGAGTGCGAGAGAAGTCGCCACTCACCAAGGAGATAACGATTTTTGGGTTAGCATTCATGGAAAAGTATACGATCTTTCCAAGTTCTGGAAGTTGCAGCATAGTGATACCTCTGTCAAGACAACGTCCGATATCATGCAACCCTTTGCTGGTATGAACTTGGACAGCTACTTCCCGCCACCATTGATTGTCGCATGCCCCGGCCTTGTAACCGACTACACCTTGGTACTACAGGACAACAATACTGCCGAATATCCTTCCGGAGTCCATATATCTGGTAATCGTTCAGCTTATACATCCAGTAAACTTTATGACTGGAATTGGTATGCGGACGTGTACACACCTGCAATCAAAGAGTATTACCATGGTGATCTAGTGGTGAAGGAAAGTACGATCAGTAGTGAAGGCCAAAACGATCAACATTATTGGGTTGTTCTAAAGGGCAAGATTTACGACTTCACCAATTATTACTATACATTAGGTCTCTATGATAACTTGCCCAGTTATGAATTCATTGATGATGCAATTTATCAAATGGTACTCAGAAACCCGGGTCTAGACATCACGAGTAATTGGGATGACAATTACAAAAAAGCCAATGCATCTTATCAAGTGGATATTCTCAACAACTTGAATTGCATGAACAATTTGTTCTATGCAGGCATACCCGATTTCCGAGATTCTATCAAATGTCAGATCAACAACTACATCCTTCTCGCCTTCACAATTTTGCTGTGTAGTGTTATTGTCATCAAGTTCGTGTCTGCACTTCAATTTGGTTCGAAGCGTCGTCCAACTCCTCAAGACAAGTTCGTCATTTGCCAAGTGCCAGCGTATACCGAAGGTGAAGACTCATTGCGTAAAGCTTTGGATTCTTTGACAGCTTTGCAATACGATAACAAAAGAAAGCTCATCTGTGTCGTTTGTGATGGTATGGTTGTAGGAGGTGGTAATGATCGCCCTACACCAAAGATCATCCTCGATATTCTTGGTGTAGATCCCAAGATCGACCCTCCCGCCTTACCGTTTAAATCCGTCGGAGATGGCAACGAGCAACTCAACTATGGTAAGGTATACTCAGGTCTATATGAATTTGAAGGAAACGTGGTCCCATATATTGTAGTGGTCAAGGTTGGCAAGGAATCCGAGCAATCCAAATCGAAGCCCGGTAATCGTGGAAAACGTGACACTCAAATTCTTCTTATGAGCTTCCTCAATCGCGTCCACCACAGAGCACCCATGAACCCATTGGAGTTGGAGATGTTCCATCAAATAAACAACATTATTGGCGTGGATCCAGAGCTTTACGAATATCTACTTATGATTGATGCCGATACTAGTGTAAGGGAAGACTCGCTGAATCGTCTCGTGGCTGCCTGTTCCAATGACGGTAAAATCGCTGGTATTTGTGGTGAAACCAATCTTGAAAACGAAGAACGTTCTTGGTGGACTATGATTCAAGTTTACGAATATTTCATCTCGCATCATTTGGCAAAGGCCTTCGAATCTTTATTCGGAAGTGTCACTTGTTTACCTGGTTGGTAAGTAATCCTTTTCCTAAGCCTCAACTCATTATATGCAGCATACTAATACCTACTCTATAGTTTCACCATGTATCGTCTACGTACCGCTGATAAAGGCAAGCCATTGATCATCGCTGACGCCATCATCAACGAGTACAGTGAGTGTGTTGTTGATACTTTGCACAAGAAGAATCTTCTGTCTCTTGGAGAGGATCGTTTCTTGACTACATTGATGACCAAGCACTTCCCATATATGAAGTACAAGTTTATTCCAGATGCATACGCCAGTACTGCCGCGCCCGAAACCTGGAGTGTTCTTCTGTCTCAGAGAAGACGTTGGATTAATTCTACCATCCATAATCTAGCTGAGCTGGTCCGGCTTCCGGAATTGTGTGGGTTCTGTTGTTTCAGTATGAGATTCGTTGTCTTCATCGATCTCTTTGGTACAATCATTCTTCCTGCAACTACAGTCTATCTAGGATATTTGTTGTACATGGTCGGAACAAATCAAGGTCAATTCCCCCTTATTTCGATTTGTATGATTGCTGGTACATATGGTTTACAAGCTTTGATATTCATTCTCAAACGTCAATGGCAACACGTTGGATGGATGATTATTTATATCCTTGCATTCCCGATTTACTCTTTCGTGCTACCAGTTTACTCATTCTGGAACCAAGACAACTTCTCGTGGGGTAACACACGTATTGTCCTGGGAGAAAAGGGATTTGCAAAGGTTGTGGCTGTGGATGGCGAAACATTTGACCCGAGAAGCATTCCTCTTCAACGATGGGATGATTACGCTTTGCACAACAACCTTCCAGGACGTCGCGGAGTAGCAGTTGAAAAGGCATATGATACATTCGATGATCAATACGAAATGGATGACATGAAATCCATGTACTCATCTGTCAAACCAGCCTCCACTATTTTGACAGGTTTCCCTGGTCGTGGTCCATACATGCCTCCTCAATCTACTTACTCCGCAAACCAATACACTGATCACCCTCTCCGCAATCAATCTGCAATGTCCCTTCGCCAACAAAATCGTTCCGCTTCACCATATCAAGACTACCCTGGCAACAACCGTCCTTCGATGCAAATGATGTCTTCCGACAATCTTCTCGGTGGTGGTCAAGGACGACATCAATCACGTTCGTCGCTAGGCTTCACAGGTGGTGCTCGCTCACCATTAGCCGGAGCTGCGATTGATAGACCTGCTAGTGGATTTGATTTCCAAAGGGGTACTGCCGGTCCAGATGATTTGCAGATTGTAGAGGCTATTCAAAATTGTTTGAGGGAGGTAGATCTAGATAATGTTACGAAGAAACAGGTTAGAGCTTTGGTAGAACAGAGGTTGCAGACTGAGTTGGTTGGTGAGAGGAGGACGTTTTTGGACAGGAGTATTGATTCTGAGTTGGCTGCTATGTAGATGGAGATGGATAGGAATATCGGGATACGAAATGGAGAGATTCCAATTGGAATTAGGAAAAGGGGAGGGGCAGAGGAAGGTGCTTAGCATTTTTACGCATGTGAGCATATCTGTGGGGGCGGGGTATATTGAAATTAATCTCGAATTTTTATGGCGTATATTTTCTGCATAGGATGGTTGGATGGATGGTGTTTTCTGGATTTGTATCACTCTTTCTTTTTACTTGAGACGGAAAACAATTCGGAAAAGAACGTACCTGAGAGCCAATAGCTAGCCGGCTGGTATATGAAAGGGAGGGCTTAATATCAGTGTAATGAGATTAGTCAAGAAACAAAATGAGATCCAATCTTTTGAAAATAAGAACTCAATGTTGAGGAAAAAACTTCGATGACTGGTCTATAATGTTATTCATTTAATATTTGAAAATTTAACATTCTTTGACAAATGCATAGTTCTGGTAAGAGGAAGGTTTCACTGGTTGTAGGGACTGGCGGGATACTGCAAGAACTGAATATGCAAATGTCTTCATTGAATACTGATTCATTCCCGTTGGAAATCTAATTCTGGAAAGAAAGCAGTGCATTTTACCAAATGTTTCAATCTAGAAACTACCTACATGTCTTCCCTTTCCATGTCGAAAATCTCTCCTTCACATCGACGTCCCTATCACTTCTTCGTTGTTTCTACAGGTCGAAATTTCCGAGCCCATTCTCATCAGACGACGGAGAAGTGATGTCTCGATCACTCTTGACCAATTCGAAAACTGAGGTTGAACCACGAATACTCATCCGATGGATGTTCGAGTGCTATGTCTTTCCCGTGATTCATTGGTTTACACGAAAATATCTCCACACTGATGATTGTCAAGTTTTTGAAAGCCTCCTTATGTTGAGCCAGGAGCCAGGTAACTCCTTTTCCATTCGGGGTCCCAATAATGCAGTACCGTGACCACTGCTATCCCCCATTGACACCACACATCCTGATGGCACGAGCGATTCACCCTTTTTCTTCAGTACCTCGTTTATGACGTCCAATGTTGTATTATTCGTAACATGATGTTGGATGACGTATTTCAAATTGCTCACTTCAGTGCCATGAAGTTTGCAGACCTCCGCCCATTTCAAATACGCAATATCTGACCATCTACTGAGGTCAGGGATAGTGGGCGATTTGATGTCTTTGAGAAGCTCAACTTGGTACGGGCTCAAGGACTGGTATGCTACTATTACGCCGTGCTAAAATATGTTTTTTTCAGTCAATGCAAAATCTGGTACGCTGGTAAGCTTGGTTGTGGAAAGCTTCGCTTGGTATGTTGTTGACATTTTGATTCAGAAACCGGGAAGATTGTGTCGAGCATCCAATCATTTGAATGCATCGAAACATAGTGAACACTTACCGTAAAGTTCATGACTAAATCATAGTGAGGTAGTGGTACCTAAAGTAAAAGCTTGTTAGCTTATCTCCTTGAATAATGAGCTGTGTGATGTTCGGGTCTTGTTAATGAAACGGTTGGGAACTGATCGACATCTAATGTTAAGATGAAGGTGAGGTTTCGGCTAAATAAGGAGGTCGAACGTGACACAGTCACTTGTGTATTTGAGAATTAAAATGCCAATAGAAAAATCAATTGATTGGGGAAAAAAATTTGTTGTTGATTGCAAAAACCACAATTTTGTCTAGGGATGTAATCTGACTTGGATATCACATCATTCGGCAATGTCAGAATATCAAGCACAAAGTATACAGAACTTATAACAGTTTTAATCGACGAGAACTCGCCCCAGGTTCAAGAGCTTCCTTCACTAAAAAAGCGTCAAATTCTTCCCATGAATCGTTGTTTGTGGGAACATTCAGAGTATTGAGATACACAAATGGTGGCCGTATCACATTCATAGCTATAGAGGTTTCTTCCATGTCGTCCCACTTGTTGTCCCGCAAAGCTTGATGATCAAGAAGTGGGCTTTGTTTGGGGTAATTTTTTTCTTGTGGATTATTACACTTGACATAGGCCAGTAATTGATTTCCGGATGTTTGCGCCCTTAGATAGGTCGGGGATGGAATTGAATGTTGAGACATTGGAAATTATTTCTGGATGTGTGTCAAAGGTCTCCGGGAAATTCTTTTGGCGAAGATCTGTCTGATCCAAATAATAAATTCACTCGATTCGTTTCCTTTAGTCAAGCTGGCTGTGAAGAAGCTCACTCGGTCAATTCTCGAATTTTGATCTGACAAGATAGACAGTCAGCTATCTGATAATTTCTCCAGATGACACCTCCGAAAAGTGTTTGGAACTGGAAGGCCACGAAATCAGGATTGAATGAGAAGGCCTCCCGGTGTTATATACTTCTGGGGTTTGCTTCTGTCAGATTCAAAGTCGATTAATGCAATGACACGTGTGGTCTGAATCATGTACGGATGATAATGAGTAATATGTGAAAACAATTCAGAGTCGTGACAAGACATTTTAGCATAGATAGAAACATTATTTGTAGTGCCTAAAATAACATTTAAGCGTTTTCGCAGACTCGTTGAGCTGCTATAATAGGAATTATCTCACTTTGTATAAACAGTACCCAACAAACACGATAACACACCGAGATCATATCATCCATATTGTCATTCTGACTATGCATTATATTGGTACTCGTTACCATTGAATCCAGATATCACCAATAGACACTTTCGTCAAATGAAATATTAGTAGTAGGGAATCGGTCGGCCTGGGAAGCAAAGGGTTAGTAATTTGTAGTTACTAGAAAACTTGGGATTGTTTAGGGAAGGTGTGAATAAAGTTATTGTGGAGGAAGGAATGGAATTGAAGTGCTGAAACGGGCTAGTAGAGATAAATATCCCACAGATTCTTTACAACCGAAAAGTAGAAAATAGAGCTTACACTCAAGCCTTCTTATATCAATGACATGAAAGTATGGAGTTTAAAAGGGAGTTATTCTACTCAAATAACAGACTTCTATCGTCGTGTCAGGGCATTTCTCTATAAACAATTACCAGATCGTGACCTTGATGGATCACTCGAAGGCCACTTTCACACCTAAGGGATGAGCAAACGAAGGCTTAAAACAGCTTATGTCATCAGGTAGCGGTCGTATCTCACTCTTAGTCTAATTATCGCAAAATTCGTTCTAACAATATAACTCTTATAACAACCTATTGTAAAGATCTATAAATAATATTTCTATAAATAATATATATTTATATTTCAATATTTGTTTCTAAACAAACAAAGAATAAAGTGAATAAATCAAAATCTTAAGATTGCTGGATTAAAGTATTTTATATTTTTTTCTAATGTATATCTTTAGTAATCGATTCGTAATATTGAAAGCTTAAAGATATATATATATATATAGTTTAGTATGAACCCTTGTATGAACATTTATAGTGAATTATAGTCTGAGTCTCTAAAGAGGTAAGAAAAGCTCTAAATAGATGTACCTTTTAATGTAGTTAATCGCTAATATAAATTTAATCACTGATAATTATTATGACTTGTAAACTAATTCTAACACATATATAATACAATGATTGTATTTTGTAATTACTAGTCTACATTAAACCATAATAATTACAGTCATTCAAATCATGAAGGCATTAAAAGTATCCTTCAAATCTTACTCATGTTTCATTCATTCTACATTCATATTACTACATTCATATTGATCAATGTATTACTTGATCTTCAGTATCACTGTTAATGGAAAGGTCTTCCCCGATTGGAATACCTTCGCTAATTGTATGAACATTAATCATTAGGCTCTAGTGAATAGCTTCAATTCATTAGCTATTGTATTACAGTATTTAGCGAATGCAGGATATAGTAGCTTTAAGTAAAGGCAGAAGAGACTAGCTCTTCTTGTAGCGTTTATATAAGACCTACAACTTCCTGTACTTAGCTAGCTCTTTAGACAGAATACAATATAGACATTTAGGACCTACGAATACCATGGGTACTACGTCTTTCGTATCCTTCTCGAACCAACACTAATCCTTACCGAGTTTCTAAGCGATCCACAATCGATAATCTTCATACTTTACTTAAAATAGTAGACTAGAGTCTTTAAGAGACCCTCTAGTGTTTTACCTGAGTGTTCTCAAGTACATGATTCTCTAAGGGCCGTGATTAGGTTAAGTATATCATGTATTGAGAATTACTTAATGAATAAATATCAAAATTATATTGAAGGGTTGTAAATGATGATAGTACGAGCTCTTTCTCGAATCTTTTTAGATAAGTATAATAACGGGGTTGTTAGTACTCTTTGAAATTATTCTTAGTATTATTTGAATCTATATCTAGATTTCTATTACATAGCTTCTAGAGTCCTAAAATTAATATAAATTATATTTTTATATTCTATTAAAAACGAATTTTGAAGATATTTAAATATTCTAGGCTTTTTAAAATAATAATAAACTAAATAATTATGAATTAAAAGAAAAATAAGTCTATTAAGAAATATAATAAGAAGTTTATATATAATATAATAGACTATATACTTTAGTTATAATCTAAATAAGAGTGTTTTCTATATTATTAAGCTATAAAACATATTTATCTAAAAAATCTAAAAAATCTAAAAAACTGATTTTTTTTAAAAGTATAAATAAATTATCTATTAAACCTTATATAATATTTTTATTAAATCTCTCGAGTTTATAAAACATTCTCAATATATTATAATATTGGAATATAGTTATTTAATAACTATTAAAATCTTGTTAAAATTAATATAATTTTTATATATATTTCTTATTAAAAATAAAACCCATTTGATTTGATTTAGTTCCTATTCATCTATTCAATTTTAATGAAATTTTAATGAGAGTTATAGTTATAGCTCGTCGTACTTCTTAGCGAGATTAAATCAGCTATCTTAATTTTGAATTATAAATTTAAATATTCTATTATTAGTCGAATCTTTAGTTTTTTAATTCAAATTTAGAAGAAATATTAATGTTGATAATAAAAATAATAATCATTAATTTAATCAAAACTGATATACTTCTTAATATATTAGAATTATTTAAGTTGAATTCAATAGAAAATCTGGAAATTAGATTCATTTAAATTTGAGTATATCGAAATCTATAATATAAAGCATCTTTAAATTGAAATTAATTTGAAAAATTAAAAAATACAAGGTTTATATTAAATCTATAATGATTGTTAAAGGAATTTAATAGATTATAAGAATTATAATAAACGTTAAAAGGGATATAGAATTATTGATTCGAGAAGAATCCAAAAGACATAATATATATAATATTTATAAAACCTAAATATCTATATTGTATTCTATTTAAAAAGCTAGCTAAATATAGGAAGTTATAGGTCTTATATAAACATTATGAAAAGAAATAGTTTCTTCTGTTTTCGCTTAAAACTATTATATCTCGTATTGATTAAAGACTATAATATAATAGCTAATAAATTGAAGCGATTCATTAAATCCTAATAATTAATGTTTATATACTAAAAACCCTCTTTTATAATTTCAATTTATAACTTTATTAGAACCTAGTAAAGTTATCTTCTTTATTATTCTACCTTCTTTTAATTTATTTCATTATTTTAATATTAATCTTATTTATATTAATAAAATTAATGAATATTTAATATAGTTTTTTCTTTATTATTATATTAATTAAGTTAATTAATTCATTAATTTATATAACTTTAATAATCTCTTTTTTTATAAGATTGATATAATACTATAATATTAATCAGTAATCTCTTTTCATTAGTTATATTTGATTTAATAAATAAATTACATAATAATTTTAAATTAATATATCAAACTAATGGAATTTCTTTATTAAGAATAATACTAATTATAAAAATAATTACTATATTAATGTCGAATTCTTAAATCAATTTATATAATTTTAAAACTAGAATACTATATATAACTCTTTTCTATTTAGTAAATAAACAATAAATAATATTAATATTATTATATTTATTCATTATAATAATAATATAGTCTATTTAGAATAAATTATTCTTGTTATTGATAAGAGAGATATTAATAAAAATAAAAATCTTGAATGAATCTAAATTGAGTAGTATATAGTTAAATCCTTTGATAGAATTTTCTTTTTATTATTTAATATACTTATTTAATACTATAATATTGTTTTTATTAGGTTGTATTATTTGTATTATTATTAATAAATTAAAAAATACTTCAGATTAATATATAATTATGATGTATATATTATAATACGTATATAGTATGAAAGAAGTACGAAGTTCTTATTATATTATATAGAAGCTAGTTATATGTATCTAGGTAATCTGATGCGCTAGTATTAGCGTATCATTTTACAAGCTTGTTATATAATATATTGATTATATATAGAAGTATATTTTCGAGTTTTGTTATATATATTATAAATATTTATAAATTTTATTAAAATAAGATATAAAATTTTATATTACTTTTTTTAATTAAAAAAAAATATTATTATTTTTAGGTATAAGAATAATATTATTAAATTTTGATAAATAATTAGAAATAAGTTCTTTATAATCTTTGACTATAAAATTGATTTACTTAAATTATTCATTTTCAATTTAAATAAACTTATTATTCTTAATAATAAGTATATTATTTATTTGAAAATCTATAATACTAAATTTAATATTCTAATCATTAATATTTAAAAAACAGGAATTATATATAAATTCTTATGTTTTAAGTTTTTTATAATAATAAATATAATATATTCTAAACTAATGATTTTTTACTTTCGAAGTATTATACAATAGTTTTATAATAAATAAAATCATATTAATTAATAAAAAAAATTCTTTTAAAATATATATATAGAAAATATAATATAAATTCAAAATCAATTGGATATATACTTAAATAATATTTTAAATACATATATCTATTTCGTTTTCTTTTTACGTATTTATGACTAAAAAATTAAAATATATTGATATAATTATTAGTAATTATATTGAAACAATAATTCTATTAATATTATTATATATTTAAATAATGAGTTATAACTTACGAAATTCAATATTTATTTCTTTATTCTTAATT